CCGTGGTCCTTTTGCATCCGCCGGACGCCTTCTCAATCGGGCGGCCTGGCTCCGGCATCCTCGCGCTTGCGCTGTCCACCCACCCACCCACACCATGTCTGCCCGCCCCTCCCACTGATATCCCGGGGTATTTTTGCATCAAGGGTCGCGCGACTGGACTCCGGATGGAGCAGCCTAGCAGGCGAATCCCATCAGACGGATAGCGTTCGTCGTACAATCTGGCCGAGAACGAGATAGCCATAGCTACCGAGTGGATAGTCCCAACTGATTGGCGCCCGCGACAGACAGGCTGTTACCTGGTGACAACAACGTTGCAACCGAGCACGCGAGCGCGACAACACATATATATCCAGCCATCCTTCTCCCCTTCCCTCGTACCTTCTTTCCTCTGCTCCTCGTGTGCTCGTGCCTTCACGTCCCCTTTCAAAACACTCCCATCCTCCTCCCATCGTCACATTGTTGTGACCTGAAGTTGAGAATAGAGAGTTGTAACCCGCACAACCGCCAACATGTCGACCACCGCCAACATGGACGCGGACGCCATCGCCCGGGCCGGCCTCGCAGACGCCGAGCACCACGGCGTCTACCCAAACGCCGCCCGGGGCTCCATGGATGTCAAGGACAAGAAGGAGACGCATGACCACGACGTCGTCTCGACCTCGGACGACGATGACTATCCCGGCAAGCCCACCGAGGAGGAGATGCGCACACTGCCCCGTGTCTCCGGCAAGATCATGTGGAGCATGTGGACCATTGCCTTCGTCGAGCTCTGCGAGCGTTTCTCCTACTACGGTTCCTCCGTCCTCTACACCAACTATGTCGCCTACCCTCTGCCCGAGGGCTCCACGACCGGTGCGCCCGTCGTCTCGGGTGGCCAGCCTGGTGCCGTCGGCATGGGCCCCAAGGCCGCCCAGGGTATCAGCTTGACCAACCAGTTCTTCACCTACCTGACCCCTCTCCTCGGTGCCTACATTGCCGATGCTCGCATGGGTCGCTTCTGGACCCTCCATTTCGCCATTGGCATCGCCACCATTGCCCACGTCGTCCTCACCGTCGCCGCCTCGCCCACCGTCATCGACCAGGGCAGCACTGGCTTTGGCGTCTTCATCCTTGGTCTTCTGCTCCTCTGCGTTGGCAGCGGCTTCTTCAAGGCCAACGTCTCTCCCCTCCTCGCTGAGCAGAACCCGGACACCCGCATGCGCGTCGAGGAGCGCAAAGGCAAGCGCGTCATCGTCGACCCTTCCCTCACCAACACCCGTGTCTTCCTCTACTTCTACCTCTGCATCAACATCGGCGCGCTCTCTGGTCAGATCGGCATGGTCTTTGTCGAGAACCAGTACGGCTTCTGGCAGGCCTTCCTGATCCCCACGGCGCTCTTCCTGCTCTGCCCCCTCGTCTTGTGGTCGCAGAAGAAGAAGTACGTGCTCACGCCCCCGACCGGCTCCCTGCTCTCCAAGTTCCTCCGCATGTTCCGCTTTGTGGCAAAGAACTCGTCCTTCTGGAAGCCCAACTGGGAGCTCGGCAAGCCCTCCAACGTCTCCCTCGACCAGCGCCCCAAGTGGATGACCTACGACGATGCCTGGGTTGACGAGGTTCGCCGTGGTCTCATGGCCTGCAAGGTCTTCCTCTTCCTGCCCATCTTCTTCCTGGCCTACAACCAGATGACCGGCAACCTGACCACCCAGGCCTCGACCATGCAGCGCCACGGTGTCCCCAACGACATTCTCCAGAACCTCAATCCCATCTCCATCGTCGTCATGATCCCGCTCATCGACCACGGCCTCTACCCCGGTCTCCGCAAGCTCGGCATCGCCTTCACCCCCATCAAGCGTATGACAGCCGGTTTCTTCTTCGCCACCATTTCCATGATTGCCGCCGCCGTCATGCAGCACTACATCTACACGATGAACCCCGACTGCGGTGACATGATCACCAACAAGCTCACCTCGGGCGAGGACTGCGCGCCGGCGCCCATCAACGTCTGGGCGCAGGCACTGCCCTACGTCTTCATTGGTCTCGCCGAGATCCTCACCAATGTCACCTCGTACGAGTACGCCTTCTCCAAGGCCCCCGCCAATATGAAGTCGCTCGTCATGTCCGTCAACCTGTTCATGTCGGCCCTGTCGGCCGCCGTCGGCCAGGCCTTCACCCCTATTTCCGGGGACCCCTTCTTGGTGTGGAACTACACCACCGTCGCCATCATCTCCTTCCTCGGCGGCGCCGGCTTCTGGTTCTGCTTCCGCCACCTCGACTCTGACGAGGACAAGTGGAACATGCTCAAGAAGTCCGAGTACATTGGTCAGAACCGGCCCACCGACACCGTCAAGGGCGCCGAGCACGGCGACGCCTAATGGAGGAGTGCTTGTCTGAGTGGAAGCGTTTGCCACGATGTGAGACGTTGTTTATGAGATATCCAGATACAGCATGAAGATGTTAATCAATACCCATTGTTCTTTACTCTGCCGTGTTCAATGAAGCCACCTGCGAGATATTATGCATTGTCGACCTACAATCTTGGTAGCTGAGCCTCGATGTCGCATGGTGCGCGCGTCTGACGTGCACGTAGCTTGATACAACTCGTTCGATACGTCCCACAGCGGCTTGAAGTGGTGATATGTTAGCACGTCACAAGTAGGTGTTTGCATTGGGTGAAATCAATGATGAGAATGAAAATTATTGTTGCTAGAGGCAAGATGATGTCCGAGTAAAATGAGTGGTCGTTGACATTGTTGTCATGATTAATCTTCGGACCCAAGATGTTCCGGCAGCGATAAAGTCAATGTGGCCTCACTCACCGCACCCGCCCAAATATCGCCATCGCCATCGCCCTCGCGACATGCATGTGACAGCCACGACCAAGTGCCGCTTTGCCCCCCCAACAACTGGGCCCAACGCTTCAGCTGCAATCGGAAACTACCTAGACACCTCAAGATGGTACGTTCGTGCCCAGATAACACGCTTACCCAGCTTACCTCCTCGCCAGAACGTCTCGTACAACTCGGCTCTGCGCCAGAGCAAGGCCATCCGCGCCCAGCTCACCACCCTCTCCTCCAAGCCCGACCCGACCCCATCCGAAGTGGGCAACGTCTCCGCCTCGCTCGCCTCCTTCTCCAAGACCATTGACGAGTACAACGCGCTGGCAAAGCAGGAGATTGTACCCAAGAAAGCAGAGGAGGCGACGGAGCGAGTGCGCAAGTTCCGCGACGACCTCTCTTCGTTCCGCACCGAGGTCGACACGCTCAAAAAGGTGCGCGACGACACACAGTACCAGAACAACAGATCCGAGCTTCTCGGCAACCGACGACCCTACAATGCGACTCCAGAGAACCCGTACGCGAACGTGAAGCAGGCGGCGCATTCCGAGTTCCAGCCCCGGCAGCAGCAGCAGCAACAACAAGCATACATGTCCGGAGACAATGCGCGGGAGGAGCACGCCATGCGCGAGCAAAACTTCTTTGCCAACACGAACTCGGCTCTCGACGAGTACATTGCACGTGGACAGGCTGTGCTGGGTGACCTAGGGCAGCAGCGGGAGATGCTCAAGACCACACAGAAGCGCCTCTACAGCGTCGCCAACACCCTGGGCATCAGCGGCGACACCATTCGCATGGTCGAGCGGCGAGCGAAGGAGGACAAGTGGATCTTTGCGGCGGGCGTTATCATTTTCCTGCTGTTCTGCTGGCTAGTGATCCATTATCTACGATAGAACGGTCATCGCTTATACGGCTTCCGGGAGGGCGAGAGCGTGGCTGTTTCGAGGGCAGCAAGCACAGAAGAAGAAGAAAGTGAGGGTATCCAGCAACGTCTAATTCCAGCCCCTCCACCGCATATCACGACTCGTCCTCGCTGTCGACCTTTCCCAGCGCAATGGTGAAGAGCACGTCCTCCGTCGTCTGCACCTCGACATACTCCACGTCCGGTTGCACATGGTTGCTCGTGCTCATTTTCCCGCCAATCTCCGTCTGCCAGTCCGAGACGTCCCAGACGAGGCCGCTCGTAGTGATACGACTGGGGCCCTTGAAGGGGATGATGCCGACGTACTTGCCAAAGACGCTCGGGGCGCCCTCCTCGTCACCGCGGACACGGATCCGGTGCGCGCCCGTCTTCAAGAGAAAGGTCATGCTCGAGCCGGAAAGGAGGTAAATACGGCCCTGGGCATAGGAGGGGTCTTGCTGGAAGAGGTACAGGTGGTGGAGCTGGCTCAGCCCTTGGTCGACTCGTCCGCCGATGCCGCCCAGGGCGACAATGTCCATACCGGCAGGGCGCTCCTTGCGAATCCACGTAATGGCCTTGGCAAAGTCTGTCGAGTCCTGGTCGGTCTCGTGGATGACCTGTGCGGGGGTGGGCTGCGAGGAGTAAAAGTCACGCACATCCTTGTGTAGGGAGTCGAGGTCGCCGATGATGACCTGGAGATTCGACTGCCAGCCTGTCAGCGCTTCTCTCGGCACGCGGCATCTTCTTTCGAGGAACTCACAAACTTGCCCTGGAATGAGGACAGCTCATGCAGACGATTTGCGCCGCCATCGGCAGCTACTCTCAACGAAGCTGCACAGCGTCAGTCATGCCCCACGCTTCCCACAGCAGACCTGGCATTGCCTCTTACAGTTTCTCCATAGCTTTCTGAGGTTGTTGCTGTTGCGCAACGGCTGATTGAGAACGAGCAGTGCAAATTCGGGCGCGATTTCGCGACTCTGCAGCAGCTTGGCTGGCTTCCACTCGATGACCGACTCTGGGTCTGCCATGGCTGCGATGATGTCTGTGTGTGTTCGTGTAAAGGAGGTGGATCAAATTGTGTGGCTCCAGTGCTGGCTCCCAGCTTCGAAATCTTTGGATCTGGCGCGTGAATGGTGCAAGATAGAGTGTAGACTCTGACGGAAGCGGGGAAATCAAGAAAGCTCTTCTAATCTGGGTGAAATGATTCCTGGGTAATGTGGCTGCACATCAAGAGCTAAGCCTTAATTCAAATACAAATGAGCCCGCATCTGAAGACGTAGATCTTAAGCTTTCTTACCCTTACTTCTTACGCGTCTCAGAGCGCACTGCGACAGCCGATCTCGCACGCGTTGGTTGCAGGATGGTGTCTCGGACGTGCGTCTGCCAACGACGCATCGTTGCGAGGGGCCTGAGCGGCCTGCTTCCACTCGGCAGTCAACACATCTAATTGAAGTGCCATACGTGTTGTTGTCCGATGGGAATAATCCACCGTCTGCCTCAATGTCTTTCATACATTTGGTAATCTGCACATAATTACGTATGTTCTTACTAGATTGTTATGGTGCCACCCACGCATTACCCATCCGCATAAACGTCGGCTAATTCTATCCTCTCGGACAATGACGGCACGCATGTGGGTGTGACGCTTACCAATTCATCGACGCTCCGAAAGATTTCCTACTGCGAGTCTGCGCTATCCTTCTCGAATTCTAGCGTCCACCACATCTCGTTCAGCATGTATCGCACATCCTTGCGCTCGGCCTCCAGGCCTCTTCTGCGTAGCGTGCGCTCACAGCAGCCATGCTGGCGCCGTTTTGCGTCGACAAAATCTCCCGCCGACAAGCCTCGAAGCTGGAAGAGCTCAGCACTGCGATGGGGCGCCGCCGGTGCCGCGCTCTACTACTACAACACAAGCAACGTCTTTGCCGAGGAGGCTGCTCGTATGGAACCTACCGAAAACCATACTACGTCCCTGTGCTAACATCTCAGCGCGAACCGTGGCCGCACCACCATCATTTGATGAGTCCGAACTTCCCACTGTCGACTCTGTGCTCGAGGAGAAGCGAAAGCAAATCCAGAAGAAAATTGAGGAGAACACCTCGAGCGTAACACCCGAGCCCATCGCGCCGCAGACGACTCAGGAAGCCCCCGAGGCGCAAGGCGCAGGCGCATTAGAAGAGGAGGCTGGCCAGGAAGGCGCCTTCAACCCCGAGACCGGCGAGATCAACTGGGACTGCCCCTGTCTCGGCGGCATGGCCGACGGTCCTTGTGGCGAGCAGTTCAAGACGGCCTTCAGCTGCTTCGTCTTCTCCACCGAGGAGCCCAAGGGCATGGACTGCATCGAAAAGTTCTCGTGCGCGACCCGTGCTCCACCCAACCATGCCACCATCGCTAACCTTTCCCAGTGGGATGCAAGAATGCTTCCGCCAGTATCCGGAGATCTACGGAGCCGAGCTGGCGGATGACGAGGAGGCAGATGCAGAGGGTGCTGCTGCTGCCAGCGCCGATGGTTCGGCTGCTGCTCAACCGAAAGAATCCGCTGAACCTGATGAGGACCAGCAACAGCTGAGGTCCGATGTTGATGGAAGCGCTCGCGTTGTGGAGACTGAGACGAAGCTGGAGTCAGCACACCCCACAGGAGTCGATGTCGCCGACAGCCAAGTGCTACCGCCATGGGAGGACGCAACCGATGCGAACAAGGACGCTACGGCTGAGGAAACCCCTGCCGAGGCCAACAATGAGGATGCCGAGGGAAAGAAGAAGCAATAGAATGTATATCAGCTGACTAGAACATGTATAGTAGTTATACGGTCGGCCATAATGGGGCTGTCCAGTGTATATTTCCCTCATGATCAAAGTATTGTCGAATTTCATCAGCATCCCCTCGTTGTGTTTGGACTGTTGGCTTTTGCGGACGTGATTCCTGGACTGAGTTCCAGTAATAGAGGCCATCGCAACGGCAACTCCAGGAAATGCACCTTGCTTCGAGGTCAAGCGGTCTATTTGCGTCCATCCAGCCGACGGCCAACAGCTTTGAGGTCAGAAAACGGCCATGCATTCCGAACCAGGGGCCCTGGCTGGTCTTATGCAGACTTCCATAGCCTGCATTGACACCCGCCGGCGCGCTTATGAGAGCCAGTTGAAGGTGTAGCCAATGGCAGAAACTACTACATCTCGGGTGAACACATTATTACTCCCCCTTCCCGCATGGACAGCAATCCTTCTTCATGGAATAAACGCCTAGACGACGTTGAGGTTACACGCGGCGGCATGCACCAAGAACTGTTGGTGATATGGGCGGATGGCCCAATAACGTGGAAATTTTAGGCGCCATACGTGTATGTAGGCCGTGTTCGGGTCGCGCTTCTTCTGATTTCTCAATTGTAAGTCAATTGAACAAGGCTCTATCAGCTGTTCAGATGGAACGTGGTCTGCGCTCTCAAGGGCTCTTTGTCCTCGGTCCTCACTTTTTTCCCGTATGCTCTGTATCAGTTTCCTCCCGTCACAGCAACTCACAACCTTCCTCCCGCGCCAGAACGTTCCGAAGTGGCAACGTGCTCACGTTGGCCGAAGCCGTATGAGAGTACTGAGAGTCAGCGCTGGCGTACTTCTGATGCTCTCAGTATGGTGGCTTTCATACGATTACGCAATGTCATTACTCCTCTCGACGACGTTGGAAGACGGGGCGACCATCGAACTATCTCCAGTCTCAAAGAGTCTGATCCCGGCTCGAATATGGCAAATAATGTTTCCCAAAGCCGGATCAAACGAACCTATTACGCCGGACCAGCTTCGAGATACGGCTTCGTGGCTTGCGCTGAACCTAGACTTCAGCTAGTAAGTGGCAAGGTCGTAAAGCCCAGGGTACATGGCTAACGACTTTACCCCAGCACTCTTATAGGTCCTAAGGGCGCCAATGATTTAATTTTGGAAGCCTTTCCAGAACAACCCCGGGTAGTCAAGGTGTTCGAGGACCTGCCAAACGTGGCAATGAAGTCTGACCTGCTGCGCTACTGTGTTCTCTACACTCACGGAGGTGTTTACACAGACACTGATACTGTAGCTATCAGAGGAGTCGAGCAATGGATCCCTGCCGATATTCGAGATCAAGTTCGACTTGTTGTCGGGATCGAGTACGACCGTCGAGACGACAGTCCCTGGCCTGGCATCTTCCATTGGGTCCAATTCTGCCAGTGGACGATCGCCGCCGCCCCAGGCCACCCTGTCTTCGAGAGCATGATAGCACGGGTGTTAAGCTCCATAGCGGAGCTGGTCAGCCAAGGGGAGCGGGCTGTGACCGACCTACACTTGTCGACGTTGGAAGTCATGAACTCCACAGGTCCTGCAGCTTGGACCGACGTCGTCTTTCAACATTTGCAAGTGTTTGATACATCCTTGAACACAACAGCCGATCTCTCTTATATGCAAGAGCCCACGTTGCTCGGTGACATTCTTGTCTTGCCGATCAATGGCTTTGGAATGGGGCAGCCGCATTCGCATAGCTCCAATGATGGGAGTGTTCCGCCGGCGGCCTTAGCGAGGCATCTCTTCCATGGATCCTGGAAAGACGATTGGTTATTGTGAGTTGAATGTACCCATCATTAATTAGACTTGAACAGTAAATATACCGGTGTAAATGTGATGATGAGCATCACGTAGTTGACATGCTCAAGCTGCGGTGGCAGACTACAAACATGAACAAGGACCTAGGCGGTGAGATGTACGAGTTGCGCATGAGCAGCCGGACGAGACAGCGCTCGCATCAATAACAGTAACCACTGAACTGGCCACTCACTATTCTTGGGTAGATGCGGTATCTGAAACGTAATTGGAATAAGAACGCGGTATCGTTGAGAAGAGACGAAAATGAAACCCGTGCCCTGTATCCGCCGTCGCCATTATTACTAACCCGACGCCATAGCTCCCTCCTGGAGTATTGAATCCCATAAGCTCGCTGTGTCCCACTAGGATGACGCATCCTTCTTGCCCTTGTACAGATAGCGGCCGAAGACGCCCTCGGCGGCACCAACGGCAGCCAGGATACCGACGCCAACGCCCACGTTCTGGTACGACAGACGGCCGCGCTCGTACAGACCCCAGGCCTTGTAGCCCATGTATGCGCTCAAGCCGACGACACCAGCGAGGTTGGCAATGGCGAGCGCGCCGGCGCTGCCATCGGACAGCTTGGCGAACTGCTCCGTGAGCCAGTTGTCCGTCTTCTTGGCCTCACTCTTGGCCTTGACCTTCTTCTGCTCGGCCTCGCGCTCGAGGCGCTGCGCCTGGGTCTCCGTCTGGACATCCTGCTCCTGGAAGTCGGAGGGCACCGTGTGCACGCTGGGCATGTCGACGTCGACGAGGGAGGCAGTGGAGGCAGACTCGTTGGTGACGACCTCAGGGGGCTGAGGGGCAGCAGCCTGTCACAGTCGTCGTCAACATTGCGATATATTACAGAGGGAGGCCTTGTCTCGTAACTTACGTCCTCGGGGGCCTGCTTGGGGCCGCTGGCAGCAATGTCGGCATAGGACACTACATCGCGTGATCAGTACTTGCGATATTGGACAGGGTCGCGGAGCCATTGCGCGCAACTTACTCTTGGTGATTTGAGCTGGAAGGAGGACGCGGAGGCCAAATTGACGACTGGCGACGATGCTTGGATATGTCTGATTTGAGTATGCGGTGATGAGGAATTGCTGGAAACCTGTCTTGTGACGCGGAGATCAGACTACTGCTCCTGCCCAGGCAGAGGGCGCCCGCCGGACGTACCCGAAACTGTTGTGACGTCACGCACCAGCTGAGCGCGTCGCGCGATAATACGATCGGAAGTTGGCCCTGACGCTGTTCCTCCCTGAAGCCACAAAACGTAATAACGCGACAGAAAATAGGCTTAATATAATAGATATATATCTAGCTCCTCCCAAAAATAAGTCGCAGCTCGCGTAGTACAGGGGTGCGCGGCGTGTCAAAGTGCCTCCAGTAGATGACTCGCCGCTCGCCTACCGAGAGGACACTCTCGTTAGTATCTTTAACGATATATACGAGCATTTTATTAGCATTCTCTATCTTCCCTCCGAGCGTGTAGACTTTCCGCCCGTATGTATAGGACGCCACGTCCTCGATATTAGGTATCTAAGGGATGAGCTACGTTTGGCTCCTCGTGTTATCTCGCTACTCGATCGACTACTATATATAAACGGAACTACGTATTACGGTCCTCTTTGGTATCCAGAGGCTAAGATGATTGACTACCGCGATAACAGGTAGGCGCGTGAGGCACGGGACCTGAATAACCTGAGTTAGCTCCTAAGATCCCCTTTAGTAGCCTTTCCGGATTCGCCCGATCTAGACTATATACGACTAATAGATAACTAAAGTGAAGAGGAAATGCTGCAGGCGACACAGGAAGCGGTCAAAAAACTTGGGCTTATTTGACTATCTAGTACTTCTTCGCGATGATAGTTTTAATAATGACATGGGCAAGATGCGAGATATGTTCAGTGCTCTTTTTGAGGCAAGTTTTATACACATGACAATATACATTCACGCAGATAAGTCTATCGGACGCCCACCATACGAGCGAAAGCTCAAATCCTGAAAAGCATCCGCCCAAGAACCGCTCCGCATCAACTTAAAACGCCTAACCCGGGTATCATCGCTCTCAGAAGCCCCGGTAGACCATACTCCGGGACTACCATTCGTGTACGATGTGAGTATATTCCGCAGTTCTCTCTTCCCTGTGCTATGTCGTCCTGTTGTTGAGCTGGTGCATCTCGCGAAACTTGCTGACCCAATGCTGCCGCACTCGCTCGGGCATCTTGCAAAAGACCATGGCCTTGTGCTCGTTGCTGAGCACGTTTTCAGATATTTTGACCTGCAAGTCGTACTCTTCGGCGGCGAAATCACGGAAGAACATGTCGAGGGCCTGTTCCCTCCACCGCGGCAGTGCGCGGGCCTTCATTGCCTCGAGAATCTCCTCGACAAAGGGAGTTGCGGCCTGCGCAACGGTTGAAGACCCCAGCGCACCGATGCCTCCTTGTGCAGACGTGCTCGACCCAGCTTGCACGTCTCTCGATGACATGCGCCGCCGCTTGTGCGGGGAGAATGCCGTGGAGGTGTCCGCCAGCCCCGGAGATGCCGTTTCGTCCACAGACCCCGTGGCTGGCCCTTGACGGCGTTTGCGCGCCAGATTGTGACTCTGGCTCTGCCCTGGTATCTCATCTGGAGGTGTGAGCGCACTCCCTGAGCCTGAGCTGACGGAGGCCATAGGTGTGGGCATTAGGTTTGGAGCCATGGCTGGCGGTTGCATCGGCTGGGCAGGGAACGACCCGCTGGACGATCCGGAGGCCGTCTGGCTGAGCGTCGGTCTCGGTTGCTGGCTTGGACTGGCTAGCGAGCCTTGTCCCTCTGGCGCCAGATTGAGCACGCCTGTGCCTGGCATTTCAATGTCGTCTCCCAGCGCGCCATCTGTCCGCCTTCTAGGCTTCATTATCCTCTTGGGGGCACCCCCTGATCCTATCACGTCAGGGTAAAGAATTTCCATAAAGTCTTCGTGTTCATACGGCCGTCCTCGCAACGCTCGTGACAGCGGTTCTTTCTGTTGGGAAGCGTCAGTCAGCATGGGTCGCCTTGTTGCTCTGCTCCTGCGAGTCTCACCTCGATATGTGCCCTCCAGGCCTCCTCGGTCGCTGTGACGGTGCGCGCGTGTGGGTTGTAAATGAATTCTGGATCCTCACGAAGACCTCGCCAGAGGCGGAATCGTTTCCTCGCATTGTCGCTCTTGTTGATGAGGTGGCTCTTGGCAGGGTACGCGCCGTGCGTCGCTTGCAGAGCCTGCGCGGCTCGTTCCCATGCCTCGGCCTTGAAGCTGCTGTTCTCCCGCAACCCCAGATTGACGCTCTCGCAGAGACTCCGGAAGAAGGTCGCTTCGTATGCCGGGGTCCAGCTGAAACGGGGCGCTCTCCGGTCGCGATCGACACGTGCTGGGCCGCCCTGCCCCTCGACGCCCATCACGTCAACATCGTCCTCCGACATGGCGCATTCGATGGATGCGGGCGCGATACACTCGGGCGTGTGTTTCGTGGGGTGGGTAGGCGTCTCTGTTGGCGAGCGTTCGCTGACGGGGAAGAATTCGGGACCCTTGGCGAGGCGAGCAGTGCAACAGCGAGAAGGTGACTACGTATCGCGCGAGAAACGTCTGCCAAACGATCAGTCGATTCGCGTGGGCAGTGTCAAAGGACCCTCGAATGGGCGACTGTCGGTCAGCGATCGCGAATAAAGAGCCTGAGTCCCTCCTGGGGCGCTTCGCATGGTCCGCGCAGGGCGGAGGGTAGATTGAGTCGTGGGACCAGGCTAGACCAACGTCCGTCCAGTGGAGGGCGCTGAATGACTGAAGCGGGCAGCGAGATGGGAATCTTTCAGTGGCCGAGAAGTCGACCGCAGCGGCATTCAGGGCCCGCCACCGGCCAACAGTGGATACCAATGTGCACTGGCAGGCGGCGGCGGGGACTGATTAGAGCGCCAAGCAGGCAGCAGATGTGCTTTTTCAAAAGACTCACGAGGCCTTCAATTTTCGCAACCAAGTGGAGTCCGATCGCTACAACGTCGGTCCTCTCTTTTTCTGCACGACTCAAATTATTAGCAGGTCAATCACTCAGCGCGTGATACAGAGTAACGTGATTGATAAGCGAATATCCCAGACAAGCGAATGTCCCACAAATCGCAACACCACGAACAAGATCGTCAATTAACACACAAAAGATCATTCAATTAGTTCAAACTAATCGCTATGCGCATCTCTAGATACCTCTATCTTAGCCTAACATATTCGTGAATTATGGCCGGCCTTCCCGCACGCACTATAATACCTTATACCTAGCTACACCGACCTTACCCGACCACCTCTCCTTGACCATTCAGCTACTACCTACGAATCTATATCCTTCTGATCAATTAATGCTTAACCTTCCTCTACTATCATAGTCCCTCTATTCCGTAGGCGGGTCTTTTTCTCCCTCCGGCGCCGGCTAAGGATGTGGTTAGTATCTCGAAGATCCCGGACCTCTATCCTTAGTAACGCTATCTCGTGCTGATATGCCTTTAAACCCTTAGTTATTGATATTATAGTATTAATTATTGATACTAGGGAGCTACTCTTATGTCTCCTGATTCGCTATTTAAGGTAGGCAGATTAAGATTTAGTCTCCTTGATGTCACAGCTGGTCAAGAGCGGGTGTCACAGCTGGTCAAGAGCGGGGACCCACCCTGCACCTGGCAGTCACGTGAACTCGCGCCTGCCTTTGCATTTTG